ACTAGGTTTCACTATGTTGGCTAAGCCTGGTCTTGATCTCCTAGGTTCAAGCGATCCTCTTACTTCTGACTCCCAGATTTCTGGGATTATAGGCATGAGCCACTGCACCTGGCCTGCAAAATGTTTTAAAATAAACAAGTAGAAGGTAAAAAGTAAAAATCTTACATATTCCCACTCAACCCCACCTTCTTCTGTAAATTGTCGTGCTCTCAGTTTCTGCCGTAAGTTTCTCTACACACTTACATATTTAGGAGCATGCAATGGTATACAGGGCCAGGCGTTTGGGAAAGAGATGGGTGGACTACCCTGGCAGAGGGAAGTATTTTATCCCTGACATTAAGTCCTTTGCATGTCTGATCTTGAACTCCTAGGCCCAAGCGATACTCTTGTCTCTGCCTTCCAGAGTTCTGGGATTATAGGCGTGAGCCACCACACCTGGCATGAAAAATGTTTCTCATAATATCCCTATGAAATAGGTACTGCATATTGTTATCCCTAGTTGACTGCTGAAGCAGCTAAGGTAATCTCACCCAAAGCCTCAGGACTAGTAAGTAGCCAAACTGGGATTTGAACCACAGCACTTTAACTCCAGTGTTGGCACTGTTTACTGGCTGTGCTATGGGAGTCTCCTGGTGTTCTCTCTAATTTTTGCTAAATTTACTGCATAAATGGACTCTTCTACAAACTTTTCTCCAGGTTAGATAGCTAGAAATGGAAAATTTTCATACCTACTTCCAAGTTGCTCTCTAGAAACTGTGATAGCAACTGATACTCCCACAGAGTTTGAGCGTGTCATTTCCCCTGAAGTTTTGCTAAGGTTGGATTTTATTGTTTATTCGTTTTTGACAATCTGAAGATTAAAAATATTTCATACTTATTTTAAGTTACATTTCCTTATGTACCCATAAGACTGAACATTGTTATATGCTTATTGAAAACTTACATTTCTTCCTCCGTTTAATTACCTGTTCAATTCCTTGGTTCATTTTTTTTAATAGTTTAGTTTAATTTGTATTTTATATTCATTCATAACTACTCCTTATGTATTAAGGATATTAATCTTTTGTTGTATATTTGGCAACTAATCTGTCCTTTTCACTCTTTTTTAACTTTTGCTTATGGTATTTTTGTTGTATGAAAGTCTTCAATTTAAAAAATAGTAAAACTGTATATTTAACATAGTTAATTATTAGTATTTTGGGTATAATAACTATATTTATGAATAAAATGACATCTGATATTTGCTTCAAAATGATCCAGTGAGGGCGGGCAGATAGATGAAACAAGACTGGCTATGAATTTGATGATTGTTATGTTTGGTGATGCACACAGAAGGGATCATTGCACCATTCACTCCACTTCTGTAAAAATAAAAAGTTAAAACCCTCTAGTCAAATCGGTCCCTCTTATCTTTTGTAATGCTCTCTGTTCTGAAATTTGCTTAAGAGGAACTTTTCCATTTTCGTACTATAGAAATAGTATCCTATATTTTGTCTTACTATTGATTTTTTTTTATTTAGCTCTTTAGTCAAGCTGAAAGTTACCTTGTGTTTGGTAAAAATCTAACTTTTATTTTTTTGATACGGAGTCTCACTCTGTCTCCCAGGCTGGAGTGCAGTGGTATGAGCTCAGCTCACTGCAACCTCCACTTCTTGGGTTCAAGCAATTCTCTTGCCTCAGCCTCCAGAGTAGCAGGGATTACAGGCTTGCACCACCATGCCCAGCTAATTTTTGTATTTTTGGTAGAGAGAGGGTTTTACCACGTTGGCCAGGCTGGTCTTGAACTCCTGACCTCAAATGATCCACCCACCTCAGACTCTCAAAGTGCTAGGATTACAAGAGTGAGCCACCATGCCCGGCCCCAAAAATCTAACTTTTGTTTTCCAAACGGAAAGCTAATTATCCAGTGTGACTTATGGGATAATCCTTTTTTTTTTTTTTATTTCCAATCTTAAATGTCACCTTTTATCTCTAACAAATTCCCATCTATGCACATGCCTGTTTCTGGGCTCTAGAATGAATTTACTGAGTCTGCTTTATTAACTCATTGTTTTCATTACCATCTGTCTCTTCCAAATGAGCTTTAGAATCAGTTCATCAAGTTCCAGAAAAAAAAACATTTCTGGTTTTTTAATTGAGATTTTATTAGGGTTATAGATCAATTTTTTTTTTTTTTTTTTTTTTTTTTTTTTTTAAAGACAGGGTCTTACTCTGTTGCCCAGGCTAGAGGGCAGTGGTGCGATCTCGGCTTACTACAACCTCAGCCTCCCAGGTTCAAGCGATTCTCATGCCTCAGCCTTCTGAATAGCTGGGATTACAGGCATGTGTCACCATGCCGGCTAATATTTGTATTTTTAGTAGAGACAGGGTCTCACCATATTGGCCAGGTTGGTCTCGAACTCCTGACCTCAAGTGATCTGCCCACCTTGACCTCCCAAAGTGCTGGGATTATAGGCATGAGTCACCGTACCCAGCCTTATAGATCAATTTGAGGAGAACTGACACCTTCACATTACTGATCCTTCATCCAGGAAATGGTACATCTCTCCCGTCATTTTTTGTTGTTTAGTGAAGTCATAAAGAATATTTATTGCTAGATTTAAGTATTTTTATTTTCTAAAACTTCCCGTTCTCTTCATTTGGGAATTAATGCAAGATTTTTATTAACTTTTTTAATATTGGGCATCAAAAACTGCTTAGACAACTGTAGGTTTGCTAGTTTCTCACCTTGTCACTGTTGCTTGTATATAGCATCTTCTTTTCTTAAATTTAATTTTCCTTCATGGCTCACTGCAGCCTTGACTTCCTGGAATTAAGTGATCTTCCCACCTCAGTCCCCCAAGTAACTAGAACTACAGGCACGTGCTACCACACCTGGCTAATTTTTGTATTTTTGGTAGATACAGGATTTCCCTGTGTTGACCAGGCTGGTCTTGAACTCCTGAGCTCAAGCAATCCACCCTCCTTGGCCTCCCAAAGTACTGGGATTATAGGTGTGAGCCACCACCCCGGCCTAGTTTCCTATTTCTGTTTTGAGGTACCTGACTTAATGTTCTACAAGCAGTAATCAGTTTAAATTTTGTGGACCAACTAGGTAAAGCAGTTAATTATAATTATGCTATCATCATGCATGAATATAAATTAGAGTGGTGCAAATGCTTCAGTTGAGGTCTTTTAAGTTTTTACGTCCACTAAATTAAAGATTGAGTAGCAAATCGAAATTAAAACTAGAGGAAAAGTCAAAGTTCAGCTTCTAGCTAGAGTCATTATAGCAACTCCAGGAAATAAATCTGCATGCACAGAAGGGAGAGCAAGAGGAAATAACTGTTAATCTCTAATATGAGCTCCAGGCAATTGTTTTTCTATTTCTTCAATACTTTCATGTTGAGATGACTAGAATTATGATTCTTTCTTTCATGTATTCCATTATATTCTCTGTCATATTTTTCTCTTGAAACCTGTCTCAGGAAGAGCCAACTTTCTGAAGGAGACAGAATCATCATGCCTTCACATTCCTAAAGATGGGGTAACCTGGGTTTGTTCTTTCTCTCTCTATATATTTTTAATATGGAAACTTCATGAATTTGTGTGTCATTCTTGTGCATGGGCCATGCTAATCTTCTCCATATCATTCCAATTTTAGTATATGTGCTGCCGAAGCCAGCACAGGGTTTGTTCTTTCTAATCTCATTTGGTTCATTCATTCATTCATTCATTCAACAAATATTCATTGAGCATCTATGACACTGGTTTTCTTTTTTTTTTTCTTTTTTTTTTTTTTTGAGACGGAGTCTCGCTCTGCCGCCCAGGCTGGAGTGCAGTGGCCGGATCTCAGCTCACTGCAAGCTCCACCTCCCGGGTTCCCGCCATTCTCCTGCCTCAGCCTCCCCAGTAGCTGGGACTACAGGCGCCCGCCACCTCGCCCGGCTAGTTTTTTGTATTTTTTTAGTAGAGACGGGGTTTCACCATGTTAGCCAGGATGGTCTCGATCTCCCGACCTCGTGATCCGCCCGTCTCGGCCTCCCAAAGTGCTGGGATTACAGGCTTGAGCCACCGCGCCCGGCCGACACTGGTTTTCAACCTGGTTACATAATGAAACCACCCAGGGAACATTTCCAAAATACCATTACCAGTTTTCACCCATAGATTAATGGAACCTAGGCCAGACCTATACATTTCTAAAGCTCCTCAAGCAATTATGATGCATATGAGGGTTGAACACAGCTGCCCCATGAATATATTAGGTCCTGCGCAAACAAGAGGGGATGCAAATAAAAATAAATAATTGCTAACATTTATTGAGAATGCATACTGTATGTCAGGCACTATTCTCAGTTCCTTATGTGTTTTAACACATTTAATCCTCTCAACAACCCTAGAAGGTAAGTATTATTCAGTCTCACAAGAAAACTGAAGCACAGAGAGGCTAAGTAACTTGTTCAAGGTAACACATCTAGGAAGCGGCAAAGTCAGGTCCTGGAGTCCATCCTCACTTTTCTATGGTCCATCCATAGTATCATAGTCGAGCAAATAATGAAAACACAGGAGATATGTATCAAGAACACCTAAAGTGACAGGTGGAGGAAGGAGATAGGGTCAGGAAGGCTTCCTGTAGGAGGTGGCACTTCAATTAAATAGAGGAAAAATGGAAACCACAGAGGCAAAGTGGGGAGTAGAGTTCCTCAGATTCCTTCCTCCCCTGTCTTGCTACACAACCTGCCTCCCCTAGTCCCAGGAGCTCCGTCCTCCCTCTTCTCCACACTGAAAACACTGGAATGCCCTCAATCATCCTTAATACTCCTAACATTTCAACTGGGAAGTCTGAAGTCATGCACAATTACTCATGCAATTTTTCCTCCAGACAATAGGTCCTTCTGTGTGCTTCTCATTCAAATATATAAAGCTTCACTCTGTTGTTTTAAAAAAGTCTTTGTTGTAGAAACAATTCACAAATGTGTCAAACAAACATTGGTTCCCCATCCCCTTCTCTGTCCCCTCACCTGATTGGGATGCTAGCCTGCCAGGGACGTGTGCCCGCTTGCCGACTCTGCCCAGAATGGAAGCTAGCCCTGCATTTCACTTCACTTCTAACCAAGTGGGGCTCTAAGTTTAAGTTTGAGGTTAACCTCAGGGGGCATTTAGCCACACCTGCCACCCCCTCTGCCTGGCCTCAGGGGTGGGAACAGACTTCTGTTGGAGAAAGGAAAATGCTTGATGCTGCTAATTAACTGTGGGAGGAAAGGAAACCCTCTCCAGACACCAAAAATACCAAAGAAGAACATTATAAAAAGCAGCCTTTGTACCAGCCAGCCACATCATTCAGCCCAGCCCAGGCTGGGGCTGGAGGGAAAAATAGCAACTCTCGCAGCCACTAAGTTCCTGCATCCCAAGTGGGCACCTCAGGAGGTCATGCCCTGAGTGAATGTCTGCTAGAGGAGGGGGTTCCAGGACCATGGCGGGAGTCTGGCTGCCTTCCCAGCTGGCCTTTGGCAAACCACAGGAAGCTGCCTGAAGCGGCATGTTTATAAGGTGACTTGTGAGACTTCCTTAGAATAGCAACAGGCCTGTTTCATAACTTAAAAGCCGAAGAGTGTGTGTCTGTGGAGGTATGAGGTGGAGCTGCGGGACCTTACTTTAGAGTCTGGGTAATCTCACTAAGGCAGGTTGCTTTCCCACCCTGTGCTTATCAATTTAGGGGCTGATCCTAGCTCTGCAGATGGGACTATCTTAAACAGAGAAGTGTCACCTACCAGCCAGCCCAAATCCCTGAGGCTTGAGTGCTACAGGGCTGAAGTGAGTTTGAGTATCTGGGAGATACTCCCAGATACTCCCCTCAGACCAGAGGGGAGTCTGTTGGGGGGGGCTGGAGTTGCTTTGAGAATTGGGATTTGTTCACAAGTAGGAGGGCAGTCAGGCTTTTTGGCTGGGATCTTAAGTTAAAGAGGCTGCAGAATTTGGCTGCTGACCAGTATAGGGGAATGAGGTGAAACCCGAGGGTGGCCTTAGAATGGAGGATTGAGGACCTTAGAATTTGAAAGCTGCCAGAACTACATTGGAGGTTCTTGGAGGGCATGTTTACAGGGTCTGCCTTCTTTTATAGGGGCTGGGACTGATTCCCAAGACTCTAAATTGCCAAAACCAGGAAGTTGGGGTACTAGGATTTCATACCAGGCAAGTTTCCCAGTCTCTCACTCCAATAACATTTTTGCATCTGGGCAGACAAGGGGGAGATTCCGCCACAATAATACCACATGTGCAGGATCCTTGGCAGCTGCGCGTGTGGTGGCACATCCCTTTCCCTCCCTTCCTGTTGATATACGATCTCCTTTATAGACTCCTCAAGTGTCAGAGCTGAAAAGATTTTAGAAGCCATGTAGACCTATTATTTTATTGAACAGGAAAGGAAACAGAGAACCAGACAAAAATGAAGGGCACAAGGACATATAGCTAGTTAGTAATCGCTAGGATTGAAGCCAGTTTTGTTGACAACCAGTCCGGGGATTTTTCCACAACACCACGCCCTTTATAACAAATAACATTCATATACCAGGGGCTCCTACCCATTCCATATTGTATTTCCCGTTTTACTCTCTTCCACGGAGAGTGCCTTGAACTGCACCTTGCTCATAGTTAAATGACTTTCTGAAAAGTTTCCACTATTTGGCATTTTGACAATAATAATAATAATAATAATAATAATAATAATAATAATAAAACCCTATTAGGTTAGAAAGAAAGAGGTTATCACAGCCAGAGGCTGCCCATGTGAAATGTGACCAGGGTAGAGGAGCAAATTCCCAGAGTCTAAGGCCTTGCTGCTCAAAGTTGTCCATGGACCAGTAAGCATGGGTATCACCAGGGAGTCCCACCCAGATCTGCGGAATCATAATCTGCATGTTAACAAGAGCCTACATGATGTGACTAAGTTTGAGTAGTGGTACCTCTTTGAGGCAAGGCTCTGCAAAAAATCCTTCTCTTCCTCTTCCTCCCCAAATGCTTAACCTTCTACCATCTCACTCTTGCTCCTTTCTTCCACATGCTCTGTCCAGTGTCACTCTGTTAATCTGGTTCTGCCTTTTCTTGAAATTTTAAAGCCACAAAGGGGTGGAGGGGGGGTCGGAGATGGGGGGACTGGGTGTATTTTAATAGGGGACTGAAAATGGAAACTTTTGAGAAAAATAAAATATGGCCAATTGGGAAGATCTTTTGCAGCTCCAATGTCACGTTGTTAATGTCGAAATATAAACATCTACTATGTTTATATTGGCTTACTTGTAAAATCATCAACTTTGGTTATATTTAGGAATCTGATGGCTTGGAAAGCACACTGAAAAACTCTGAGAACAAAAATATTTTTCCCTTTAACTTTATGGAAAATAAGAAAATCTCTTTCAAAAAAACAATTCCAAGAACGTCTTTTCTCTACTTTATTATCCCCATCCACCATGGCACCATCGTACACTTTTTCCTCTTAGCTTTCTTGCTCTCTTTGTTCCTAGTTCAGTTTTCTCATTTCATTTACATTTTTTAAAAATTGGGGTTTTCTTACTATTTATTTTTTATTTAAAAATTAGGAAATAGAGAAGTAAAAGAAAGCACAACAGAATCCCGCTGATGTAGAAACTATGTAAGCTTCTTATATGAAAGTATCTTAAACCGTTTTGTGCATATATTTGTTAACAAAAATGGGATAATTCAGAATATAATAATTAATATCTACTTACTTTTAAGTGGAACTATAAATTACTAACTTCTTTATATCTGTGAACATACCTCAACAACATTATTTTTGTTAAATTCTGCCATTGAAATTGTATCATGATTGATTTGGTAATATTTCTATTGCTGAATATTTAGGTACTTCAAACTTTTCACTGTTAAAAGCACTACTGGGCATGGCACAGTGGTTCATGCCTGTAATCTCAACACTTTGCGAGGCTGAGGCAGGAGGATTGCTTAAGGCTAGGAGTTCAAGACCAGTCTGGGCAAAATAGTGAGACCCTCGTCTCTATAAAATAAATTAGCTGGACGTGGTGGCCCACCCCTGTGGTCCCAGCTACTCAAGAGGCTGAGGTGGGAGGATCTCTTAAGCCTGAAAGGTCAAGGCTGCAGCGAGCCATGATTGCATCACTGTGCTCCAGCCTGCAACATAGCAAAATCCCATCTCAAACAAACAAACAAAAAGGAAAAAGAAAAATAGAAAAGCAGTGAAAAGCAATACTGCATATTCTTAATGATTTTATTACCTTAAAAAACTATTTAATTAAGCCATGAACACATAAAGGCATCATTACACTTGTGAAAAAAATTTAAGATAACATGAAATCCTTTTTGACCCTCATTGCCAGCCCTGGTTCCCTTCCTCTCCCTCCTCCCTTGTTCCAGCTCTCCTACTCCCACGCATCTCAAGGAATCCAATCATCAACCCAATTTTGATGGGGATGCATGCGGTGCAGGGCACAGAATTAAGTAATGTAAAGATTTCAGTCAATGACACAGTCTCCACCCTAGTGAGGGAGAACAGGCATGCATTCATGAGGAGATGCAAATAACAATTATAAGCCATACACTGTACCACCGAGCTCAAGTTAAGGTTAGGCAAACTGAGAACAGTCCCAATTACTGCTGAGTGCACATGAAGTCCTCTTCAATTTTCAGCAGGATCACTGCTCCAGGTTTTTACTTGATCTCCTTGCCTATAATCTCTCCCTTTCAACCCATCCAGTTTACTGCTGATAAAATAATCTCAAAAGCCACTCTTCTGATATGTATGATCTTGTTCATTCCCTACTCCTCTTATTCTGCCTGCTAAGAATTTAAAGACTCAGCTCAAACTTTAATTTACTCAGTATGCAGCTATTGAGCACACATTAGGTGCTAATCACCTCTTCTAAAGCTTTCCTCACTCTAGGTTCCGTGAGCAACTCCCTCTTGGTTTTTTAACAGATTCTACTTTGTTGGGACTGTTATTTTTCTGGCCTACCTCGACCCCAAACCATGAGTTCTTAAAGTACAGGACCTCCATCTTATCAATCTTGTACCCTCAGCACCCAGTACAGTGCTGGGTACATAGTTGATGCTTATATTTGTCTGCTCAATGAAAAGAACAAATAAATGAGCTTCCCAGAAATGTCCCACTGGTTCTTAATGTACTTTTAGGATTTGGAGGTTACTTCTTGCTTAGAGTAAGAAGCAACTGCATTAGGTGGCAGGAACAGAGGCAGCCTTTGAGGTGACATGTCCTAGCTCCTTAAAGGGACGTGTTGGTTCTTGCCCCATTCGAAGTCTTTGGATTCTACATTTGAAACAAACAGCCTATTGCTGTCTTTGCAATGTAAGAGGTACTAAGGAAGTGTTTGTTCAAAAAATAAAGAAAAGGGTTTTTTGTTGTTGTTGTTTTTATTTTTTGAGATGGAGTCTCGCTTTGTCGCCTAGGCGGGAGTGCAATGGCACAATCTCAGCTCACTGCAACCTCTGCCTCCCAGGTTCAAGTGATTCTCCTGCCTCAGCCTCCTGAGTAGCTGGGATTGCAGGCGCCTGCCACCTCGCCCAGTTATTTTTTGTATTTTTAGTAGAGACGGGGTTTCACCATGTTGACCAGGCTGGTCTTGAACTCCTGACCTCAGGCGATTCATCCGCCTCAGTTTCCCAAAGTGCTAGGATTACAGGTGTAAGTCCCCACACCCGGCCAAAGGAAAAGTTTTAAAAAGATCCCAACTTTCCCTAGTTAGGAATTGAAAGTTTGTAAAGCTCAAATCTGTTCATGTTGCCCCCTTGCCTAAATCCCTTTGGTTGTTTCCCATTGCTGTTAGGATAAAGTTCAAAATTTTAAACTTGACCAACAAGGCCCCACATGGCATGAAGGCTGCCAACCTCACCAACATCCTGTCACATCTTCTTCTTAGGTCTCTTTACACTCCAGCCCCACAAGTAATTCCTTTGTTTCTCATGGGCACCACACTTCTTCAAAAATGCTTCTTTTGCCTGGAACACTCTCTGCTGTAACCGACACCCACACCCATGGCCTCACACTTCCCCATGTCACCTGGCTTATTGTCCTGCATCCTCTTGTCTCAGCTTAGCTGTCACTGCCTAGGGAAGCCTCTCTGGACCACACTCTAAGTTATGTCACCCCACTGTACACTTGCATAGCACTCTGCATTTTTCCCTTACAACACTTCTTATTCATATAACTTGATAGTTAAGTGTGTATTATTGAATGTTTTATTCTTATTCCCCACCTCCTGATTCCAGACTATAAACTTCAGGAGGACAGGATCCATGTCTGTTCTGTTTACTACTTTATTGAAAGGGTTTTACCTACATTATTTCATTCAGTTGAACAATCCTGCAAAGCAGATATCCTCATCCTTATTCAGCAGATGTGATAGTGATGTGTGAAGCTGATAGACTTGTGTGATAACATCAAGATTTGAGCGTGGTTCCATCCATATTTCTAAAGGGCTAGAAGTTTGTTTATTTGGGTTTTGGATTATCAGGACCTGAACTCGAAGTCCTCCTGAACTAGAGTCCCAGTTCCACCACTTTCTAATTTTATTTTATTTATTTATTTTTGAGACAGAGTCTCATTCTATTGCCCAGGCTGGAGTACACTAGCATGATCTCAGCTCATTGTAACCTCTGCCTCCTGGGTTCAAGTGATTCCCCTGCCTCAGCCTCCCAAGTAGCTGGGATTACAGGCGCTTGCTACCACGACCGGCTAATTTTTGTATTTTTAGTAGAGACGGGGTTTCACCATGTTTGCCAGGCTGGTCTGGAACTCCTGACCTCAGGTGATCTGCCCACCTCGGCCTCCCAAAGTGCTGGGATTACAGGTGTGAACCACTGCACCTGGCTCTAATTTTGTAATTCTAAGTGAGCCTCTTCATATATATAATAGGGATAATATTACTTATTTTATCTATCTCATAATATTCTTTAGAGGACCAAATGAAATAATAGATATGAAGTGCATGGTAGACTATAATCCACTCTACCAATATAAGTGAAACAAGCAGCTTTTTAAAAAAAAATTTGCAACTTCCACCTCCTAGGTTCAAGCGATTCTTATGCCTCAGTCTCCTAAGTAGCTAGGATTACAGGAGCACAATACCAGGCCTGGCTAATTTTTAGTAGAGACATGGTTTTACCATGTTGGCCAGGCTGGTCTCAAACTCCTGACCTTAGGTGATCTACCCGCCTTGGATTTGACCTTCCAAAGTGCTGGGATTACAGGCATGAGCTACCATGCCCGGCCTCAAGCAACATTTCTTATCAGGCTCCAGCCCATAACGGCTGCTGCTTATCTGGTCGGCCATTCTGGACACGAGTTTCTTGAATAAAATTGTCAGTGTGGAGACACTGAGGCCAGGTGTCTCTGTACATTATCTAGTGGAGGTTGTTAGCCCAGGACTGAAATTGGCAACAAAAAGATTAATTTTGAATGACTGCATCCATTTTACAGAATGAGGAC